TTGTCTATTGCATATGTTGTTATATTATTAATTGAAATTGTTTTTAAGAAATTATTGGCTGTAAGTTTTTGAAGAGCATATTTTGTTTCCTGTTTATTGAAGAGATACGTGGTATTAATTATTATTTGAATTAGCTGAATGTGGTTATGTATGTTGTTAAGCTGAAATAATAATAAAATAAATTTCAAATGTATATTAAATAAATTGTATGTATTTTATTTACATTGTGGTGTTGCTGCGTGTCTGTAGTGTTCCAATAATATTGCCGAATACATGCCAAAGAATAATTTTCAATTGTGGAAGGATTGTTGGGTGACCAAAATAAAACAATTCTTTCTTGGCCCATGTCAATATTGTGGGACGTACCATTATGAACAAGAAAGCTATATAAGGTTATAAATTTTTAATTTTTTTTACTATTTAAGTTTCAAGATTTTAGATGAATAATACTTACACACTATGTGTTACATTTAAGGTTGTAGTATGGTAATACGTCCACCACCTTCCCAAACGATCAACAAATAATTTGAATTCATAATTCATATAGTTCAAAACATTTATTGATAAATACTGAAGAGCATTGACAATTGCTTTATTGTCTTGTACTATGCCTTCAGTACTTTTATTTAATTTTTGAATGAATTCAATGACTAATGAACATTTGATCAACCAAATTTTATTTTTCATTATTTCATTAAATAATACACTAGAAAATAAAAAAAAAATATATAAATTACAATTTGTAAATAATCAATTAATCTTTTTACTCACTTTTCATCTGGATATTTTAAAGTATAATTAATAATATTTAATAATTCTAAATCCAGTTCCTCAGGTGATGATATATTTAGGGAATTCGACCATGGATGGATTGAGGGGGGTTGGGGTTCAAAGAAATCATAAAATTCATAATCCAAAAATGGTGTGTCTCCCATTATTTCCTTTTTTTTTGCAAATGTTTTTTTGCTGATGAGGAATTGTGCATAATTTTGTAGTCCCTTGCTATAACATAGTTTTGTGGTTGTTTTGATTTTTTCCGAAATTTTTTTTTTCCCCAATTTTGACCCAAAGTTTTTTGACACGAATTTTGTTACAATTTTTTGAATGGCCTTTTGTTCTCCTTTAACTATCAACCTCTCCTCTTCCTCCTTTTCTATAAATTGAATTAGATTATTTACGTCTTTGAATCTTTTAAGAATCTGTAAATGTTATTATTATTGTATTATTATTATTAGTGTATTATTATTATTGTATTATTATTATTAGTGTATTATTGTGTACTTGTGTATTATTGTTCATTTTATGTTGAATTGCTCCAATGTTGGTTGTAATAATATTATTGAAATGGTCTATATTCATAAAACGACAGTCGTAGCTTAATAGTAAGTAGTATAATGATTCCGTATTTATGTCCCTGAATTTTTGTATCACGGACGCAATTTTCAAAACTACCTCCTGATATATATAAATAAAATTAATATTAAAATACCAATGCTATTAAAAAAATAAAAATATGTATACTTCATTAGTAAAATGTCGTCTAGGTACAATTATTACTGGCCTAATGCTCTGTATATGTGCCTTTTTTGTGTGGTGCAACATTGTAGATTCAAATATAAATGATTTTGAACAAAATGCGCATTTTATCATTAGGAAATCATTTTTCTTTTCATTAAACTCAAAAGTTTGAATGTTGTCATTGTTTTCAAAAACTTTAAAAAATAATAAAAAAAAAATCGTTATTCTTGGTTTAAATACATAGGCACGATTTTTTTTTTATAAGCATTTTATGTTCGAATATTGACAAAATTTGTCAACATCTCGAAAATTATCAATCATTGGAATTAAAAAATTATAAAATGTTCAGTTTTTATAACTAAGAGTTGAAAATTTAAAACAAAGATTCTTTTAAATAATTCATACTATAACCAAAAAGTGTAAAAGTTGAAGAACTTAATTAAATACTTACAGTTATTGAATTGCATGTTGTATGAAAAAAAACTAGATATTCCAAAATAATAAATAATTAATCTGAGTATACATGTATACTATATATATACTATACATACTATATAACCTACCTGTAGGTAGGTAACGCAAAAGTGGTAATGAATGATGATTATTCATTACATTATACAATATACATAGAGCACGATTTAAGAATTGCCAGTAAGAATTACAACTAGCGCTCAACCGGTCAAGTGGTCGATATTTTAATCAAAATATTTTTTTCTTCAAACCACAACGCACAATAATTTGATAACCACTGCAGGTTAACCATCGTATAACCATCATAACCACCGTAGGAATATTGATAAGTGAAAATGATTTTTTTCTTCTGGGCCCATTTGTGATAACCAGGGCTCGAGACTTCTAGCACTAAAAAACCATGAAATATGCGCTATAATATGCCTTAAAAAATGATAAAATATGCACTGTAATATGCTCAATAAAAAAATTAAAAAAAATTTATTTTAAATAATTCTAATTCTAAAAATATTTATTTATAGGTATTTAATTAATAATTAGTGACATAATCTAATTTTAAAAAATATTCCCGAGTATTCTTCTTTTTGTGGTCCATTGTACATGTATGATTTCTTCATTCTGTAAACATTTTTGGTAAAATTCAATGAATCAGTAAGTAAATAAATATTATAAATTATAATTAATAATTATTTATAAATTATAAATTTTAGTTTATACCTTAAAGATTGCACTGTATTATTACGTGTTTGTGAATATTTTCAAATTTGAACGATCTTCTATTATTGGTCAGAAATGTTTTGTACGTTGAGAATGAACGTTCTACATCGACTGATATGATGGTGGCGAACTTGAAGTATGGAACATCACTACTAGAAAAATCATCTGGAAAACCTTCTAATTCTTCGATGTGTCTTATACCCAAAAAAATGCAAGACATTTTTTTCAAAAGTGATAGACCAGTGTTTTTTTCTAACACTTGTTTTAATATTGACTGTATTTTAATTCCAATTGGACCTCGTAGAGTTTCAAATGATTTTTCTACATCGTTAATTATTTCAATATAGTCAGATAATAACAACCCCTGTGATTGTAATTTTTTTAAAGATGTAGTAAGAGACAAAAAATTTGATTTGATGAAAATAAGATCTACGTCTATTCCATTTCTATTGATATATTTTTTCGCATCTTTGATGCTGACTGCATCGTCATTGTCAAGTAATTCAAAAATAGAACGAATTGTGCTTAAATTATCGCAGTAATAATTTGCTGCATTGATCCAGGTACCCCAACAGGTAATTGCAGGCTCTGGTGGTAGACTTATTTCAGGGGCTTTGGATTTGAAAAGTTGAACGCGACTCGGTGCTTTTCTAAAAGTTTTTTTAACGCTGGCTATAACCTTATCAACTGATTTAAATTGACCTCTTACTTCTTCTGCCACTCTATGTAAGCCATGAGCAGCACATGTAACATGGATCATTTTAGAGTATAGGGCTTTAAGCATTTTGGCTGATTTTACCATGTATGGCGCTGCGTCAGTTAAAAATAGTAACACGTGATCACGCTGAATATTCATTAACTGTAAGGAGTCATCAAACAGTTTGCTTATTGTTGAGAAGTTTGTTTTTTTCTAGTTCTGCACAATTTATTAAAAATTGTTTCCCAGGTCTATCTAGTTCCAAAGTGTCCACTACAACATTCGCAATGTAACGTCCCTCAATGTCTGTAGTCTCGTCAATACTAACCCATATGTTTTTATTTAAGATTTCCAATTTTATTTTGTCAACTGTTTCAATGTATATATCATCGACATAGCCTTGCCTTAACGTAGATTCCATTGGAATTTCTTTTCCCGTATAACTTTCCAAAAAACTACGAAATTGATTATTTGAAAGTTTATTTAAAGATATGTTAGCAGATAATAAAGCAGGACATACATCTTTGTTGAAAGATGATTTTTTACTTGAATTTGTAAGGAGTTGTTGTGATTTTTCTGTTTTTTCTTCCCGGTGTTTAATTGCTTTGGTATGTTTTTAGATGCTGTGTTACGTTAAATCTTTTTTCGCAATTAACTTTAATTTCACAGTATTTACAAAAAAGCATTGACGAATCATATGAAAACGTGTCGGCACCAAATTCACGTACATAGCTTCTTAAACGTTGAACTAATGATATTTTTTCTTTGGGCATGATTTAGAAATGTTTGTAAAAATTGAACAGCAAAAGAATACAGGTTACAGAACAAGTTAAAAACGGTTACACGAATGCAGACGATCACAATCACTAGTCGACGTACCAAGACTTACTAAATATTAAATTCACAATAACGGACTTTACAATCTACATTACGTGTTCTTTAAAGAAACGATTAAGATACGAGATACAATAAACATGGTATCACCCATATTACTGTAATTATTTTATCTTTAGGTAGACAATAAAATATAAATCACTTGGCGAGTAACGACGTGGTGTCGATAAACTTACATTATATTATATTTATACCTATTTACTGTGTAAGGACGAATAAGCGTCTACACGTTTTTACATTTTACTTTTGTAAAATGGGAATCTAAACTAACACTTGCCGCTCACTGAGTACAAACCACAAAACTACTTCATTTTTGCAGATTAATAAATTATATGCAAAAAATAGCATACTTATAAAAATAGCAGAAAAAATGCAAATACACTAAAATATGCAAAAATATGCATTAAAAACTTCTAAAGCTGCGTTCCTTTTAGCATGAAACGGATTTGTAGCTTACTCTGCTATCTTTGATTGTGCTACAAACAAATATGCAAATGCTAGAAGTCTCGAGCCCTG